AAAGAAGAAGTTTTATTCAATCATCTGAAATGCTGTGTATGAAGAGTCTTTCTCACACTGAGAGAATATATCATAACATTCTCAGTACTTATTTAATCAGATTGTGATAAATCTTTCTACATTGAGATGAATGCATTTAAATGAGCTATCAGAGACACTCTTCTGTAGATGAGTAAGAATAGTAAGCTGCACTTAGTAATGTATAATAATAGAAAACTATTGAGCACTGAGCTCAATTACTCAGTGTATGAAAAGAAATTACTAGTGATTAAGCATGTGCTGATGTTATAAGATAGATATATTGATAATAGACTTATAATAATAGTAATCACAGATCATGAAAGCCTCATCTATCTATAATTAATAATGAAACCCTTCAAATACTTAGTATATTGAATCTCAGAGTTTCAGGTGTATAATCTTCATATTAAATACTGAAAGAGATCAGATACTGTAATATCTGATACAATCAGTCATAGATCTGATTTCATAAGTGAGAGTTCTGCAAATCAGATATAAGAGAAGTTCATATTAAATGCACTGAGAGAATGCAAGAAATCAGAATGAATAGATACAATGATCCCTTGCTTAAAGAATGATAAGATGTCAGATGACAAGTATCTTATAAAAGTAGTAGAAGAGATGCTTCTGAACTTCAAGCTGAGAAAATTGAAAAATGATGTTATGCTTTACTGTAATCTAGAGCCCCGGTGGCCGAATGGTTAATGCAGCCACCTGGTAGCGCCTTGGCGTGGGAAACCAAGGCATGTGGGTTCGAAACCCGCAGAGAATACATTAAATCTGAAACTCAAGCACCTCAGGTTTCTAATAAATACAGAGATGTACAAATCGCTTCAATGAATCGCTCTATGTTCCTGGGCTGGAAAGTTATTATCATATGTATCTAATTGTCACTCCTTTGTATTTTCCTATGTTCTTGTTATCTTGGTATGATCTCAACACCTGTATTTCCTCCTGTATAATCAACACTTGACCTGTATTTAACATCACGCAAGAACTCATCATAAGCTCCGCTTGCATATGAGTATAATGGAAGAATAATAATAATAATAATAACTGCAATCTAGAATATGCAGAAGCTCTCTATCTGAAATATTTATTTAGATGTGACTTAATGACTCGCATGCATAAGAAATTCAGCCACTTAGAAAGCTCTGAACACATGAGTGTACTTGAATCAAGAGTGTACTAGTCAAGCACAGCTGAGGACATTCAGATATACACTTATGAGTGCCTGACTTATCAGGTCATGAAAGAATCTAAGAAAGGATTAGAATATAAGAAAGTATAATATCAGATGAAATATACAATACAACTGTTCAAATGATGAGAGATGAATCTTATAGATATATTACTGTGAATATTAAATGAAAACTGTTGAATAATTACTACTATTGACTATGCTACTGACTGATCAGTCATGAAAGCAGTTTCAGAGATAATAGAGAAGATGATGACAAAGTTTCTATATAATGAGATCTATATTAACTATGAAATGTCATGTAAGATTCTAACTGATAATGATGTAAATCTTATAGAAGAAGTGATAAGGCATTTCATAAGTCAGTTATAGATAAGATATTATAAAACAATATCATATCATTTACAGATAAATAAAAAGGTAAAACACTTGAATGAAATTCTGAATAATATACTGATGAAATATCTGGTGAGCAAGTCTATAAGATTATGAGATGAATATCTTGATCAGACACTATTAGTTACACAAATTCAGCAGCATGCAGTTATCAAGTGTTCACTATTCTATCTGTTGTATGACTTCATCCGCGCATTCTGAAGAATGCTTCAGAAAAGATGAAGAAGAAAACAGTGATTACAGATGCAGTAGAAACAACAGTTGTAAATACAACAGTCACAGATACAGCAGTTACAGACATGAAATCAAGATTAAAAGAGATTAGTCACATACATGCAAAAGCTAATAGGTTACTTCTGAATCAAGCAATTCAATTGAAAAGAATATGAGACTCACTAGTTAAGAAATCAAGTCTTAAGATGAAAATATGAGTTCTCATATACAATGAGAGTTCTAAGAAGTTTCAATCTAGATGATTTAAGTTATATAAAATACTTAAATCACATTCTCTGAGAATATATGCATTGAAAGAATCAAAGAGACAGATCTTATATAACTTAATAAATATTTCACATCTTATAAAGATAAAGATATAAGATCTGATCAGATTATAATTATCTGCAGCACTATTATCAGTGTTGAAAAAGAAGAGACTTATAATTGAAAAGTCTCATAAAGTAAAAGAAATCATAGACACTTACAAATTAGATAATCTCACTTATTCTGATCTTTTCACAATTATAAGAAAAGAATAAGAAGAAATGAAGAAATCAGATGAATATTATGCTTTAATAAGTGATAAAACTGTAGTCAGTTACATAATAATACATCACAGATAGTGAATACAATATGATAAAAAGCAGTCTGAGAGTAGCAGACTTACATGTGAGTCAGATTACTGAAGAAAAAGAAATTCAGAGTTGAATTCAACTGTCTATATCAGTTCAATTACAGAGATAACAGAGAATGAAGCATCTGAAATATCTGCAGATATATAAGATTAAGTTATCTCAATCTCTGAGAATGCTCAGAGATTGAGTGAGATTAGTTTCAATGAGTCATTCACTGTAGTAATCTGAGTGAGTGAAGAGAGACAGTATAATATATGAGACAGAATCACAAGATAAAAGCTGCTGAATCTAGTCACTGAACACTGTATTATATAAAGATTGTGTAAGAGTAGTAGCTAGCAGATAAAGAAAAAGTGTAAGAAAAGAAAAAAGAATCACTTAAAAGATAATGAATTAATTATCAACTGTAAGAGTCAGCTGTAAAAAAGATAAATGTTATTATTCATATCTTATTTATTTTCATACATCACATATTTAATCTATTTCCAACATCACATCATCTGAAAAATATCAAAAACAAGAAAATCTTAAAACTTGAGATCTGTAAGAGATTTAGAAGCTGCAAGCTGCTCTTGCAACAATGCGGTACATGTTTTCAATTTCTCTATCACTCTGTGTACAACATTAATATTGTTTATCACAAGATTGACTGAAATGCCAATATAGAAATGTGTATATATATGTGTAGAAAAATTGAAGAAGAGTGCAGAACTCACAGAATCAGAAGTCAGAATGGAAAAGACAGAGATAAAAGAAACAGAAGAAGAAGAGAATACAGAACTGAATGAATAACAGTGAGAATCATCTGAGACTGAATGCTTATAATTCAGTATGTGCACAATCTTTCTCATAGAAGAGAAAGAGAAAGTACTGAGAGAAGCTTAAAAGTGAGAGAGAATAGTCTCAGCAGTGTTATCATCTTTAATTAAAATGATCTCTGATGCTGAAGCAACTAAGAATCATTATTAGTATATAAAAACTACAAAGTCAGAAGTAAGAATAGTTACTGAATGAACACTCACTGATCTTAGAGTTACACATATAATTACAACACATATAAGACTTCTCAAAAAGAAAGAGAGAGACACAGAGAAATGCAGAAAGTAGAACACAGTATATAAATGACTCATTCTTATAATAACATCTCAGACAAGATGTACAAGTCTCACATCTGTAAGTGTAAAAGAGTACAATATTCACATTCTTATTTCTGAAAACACAGATATCTTTTGTCTTCATTATAAAGTCAGATAACAGATATCAGAGAATAGACTGATACAGATCTATCATTTCAAAGAAATTTATTAGAGTAGATATACTTATAATATTGAATTTAATAATTTGTGAAAAGTTTCTTAATATCTGTGAATATCATGACTTTTGTGTATAATAAAACTCATAATGATTTCTTCTAAGAACAGGAAAATCAGTATCAGAAAGAAAAGATGAAAAAAGAAAAGACTTACAATCTTAATACTATTAAGAAGAGAAGTGATTCTTCAGTATGAATAAATAATTATCTTATTATAAATATTTAAAATGAATGTAATAATCAGTGTCTGTAACTGAGCTTTAAATAGTTGTATTATATACAGTCTTCATATAATAAATCATTCTAGAGATTAGTAAGCAGAGCGGGAGTGTACATACTGAGAAATGTGATTCATCAAGTCTACACAACATCTTCTTGAAATGAGAAGAGCTGATAATGAAAGCAGAGATGACAGAGGCAGGAGAAGCAGAAGTAGCAGGAGCAGGAGTAGTGAGAGTGAAGGTTGCGGGAACAGGGGTAGCGGGAGCGGGAGAACTGAAAACAGGGGCAGGGGGGGATGCGGGAGACCCGGTCATACATGGCACAGGCAATTCCTTCATTATCGCGTCCTTCAAGTTCTCAATCAATGATTCAACATTGAGTTCACTATCATCAGCAGACACAGATCTGTCAATATATGAAGATTCTACATGAATAAAACAAATATATTAGCATCTGCATTCATATAAAATTGTGTCAGAAAACATGATTAGAAGCTCACTGAGAAGAAAAACAGTCAAGAGTATATAAGAAAGTGAAGAAGATGTGTCATTCATGATAATACATTCTGACAATTATTAGAAGAAAAACAAGTCCTGGTTATATTTCACAATGTGTTACACTTACTGCTAATGAACTGCTCAGTATAAGCTCTATAATAATACTTATTATGAGAATAGAAAGTCATTGCTAGAAATGCATACAATGTGATAGATGAACAGATAGAGAGTGTTAAACAGAGAGAGAAGCAGGAATCTGAAATAAGATAATAGTATTTGATGATGACAATGATGAAGAAGATGATTGAAGAATAAAAAAAGTTAGTGAATAAGTAATATAATATAGTGAAAGTTTCTTTGTAAGAATATATAAGAGATGCTAGCTGAATCAGAGATAAGCTGTATGATTATGAATGCTAGCAGCACACTAATTCACATGAGACTAGAACTTATATCACAGTTACATAAGTGTGACTGAATCTGATAAGAGAGAATGTGGTTTAGAAAAATGTATAATCACTGAATAATAATACAGTCACTTCTGAACATGCTTACGAATGTAAAGAGGCTCTAGTGACCACTAATTAATTTAGATAATATATATAAGAAGGCCGGGTACGCCTGTAATCGTACACTAGCTTAAGCAACCTTTAAATCACAATATTCAGATATTTCTGAATTTAGCTATTTTCTTGTAACTGCTTGAGTTTCTGATAGAAAGTCTATTAAGTATTTAATTTCTATCTCAGTTGAGAATAAGAATCTTATATTTAATTAATTTAGATTATACTTCTCTTTCAATCTGACTATATATACTTTTCCTTTACTCTGTCAGCTTTTACTTTACTTATTTAAATAAGATTCTTTTATCTTTCTCTTTATAAAAGATTAGAATACTGTTTTTTAAATAGATCTATTTAATTCTGAACTCTTTTTTACTACTGAATTAATTAATTCATTGTCATGAATATTCATATAAGTAGAAACTTAGTGTAAATAAATTATTATTTTAATATATTCTCTTTTAAATCTTTATAACAGAATTTAAAATCAGTTTAAGATTTATTTAATTATTATAAATCTGACTATTTTTAAGTCTTTTTAAAGCAGTTTAACTGTCAGAGAATATTTATATCTCTTTCAAGCTATTTTCTCTTTTATAAGATTTTATCTTAATAAGTTTAAAAACTTTTACTATTATAAATAGTTCAGTATTAAAGACTTCAGATTCACAGATTAAATTACAGAAATCTGAGATGAAATTAATATTATCTTCAGTATAAGTAATATCTGTATTTAATCTATTTAAACTCTTATTTTTTAAGTTCTCTAAGTAAATCAGAATAGAGTCTTTTATATTAATTATAAAGATCTTCTTTAAATACTGGTTATATTCTCTCTCTTTAAATAGTTTACTTATTTATAAGTCTATAAGAGATTTCAGCTTTTCTCTTCAGAGAGATATTTTCTTATGATTAATCTTCTCAATAGTTAATAAAGAAAATTGATTTTTAATCAGTGAATATAGTCTATATAGTTAAGAGAGTATTTTCTTTAAAATATTATTCTTATTTCAATCAAGAAATCTATTCTAATTCAGTTCATTTTCTGAGTTAATTAATAAAAATTTAGAAGAGACTCTTTCTCTGATTATATAATTTAAGCTTATCTTTATAACTCTCAGAGCATAGTTCATACAGGCCTTTTCAAAATGAATAGCAGAAGATGAAATTGAAGCTTCAATTTTCATTATTTTAATAGAAGATGATTTGAATACTCTCAGAATTCTTCTCAAAGCTCTGTTTTACAGACTTTAAAAGAGTTTAGTAAAAATTATCTTGATTATTTTATTAAACTTGAACTTTATAATTAGCTACTGAGATAATATAAGCTATATATAACTGTCTCATAGTCTGAAAAAATAGATCTCTCTTAGTATTTAATAGTCTGATTACACTATTCAGTAGTCTCTCTGTCTTGATAATTCTTTGTTAAATATAATATTTAAAATTTAACTTGTAGTTTAATTATACTTCTAATTATTTAATATTCAAACTGAGTTTAATCTCTTTATTCAAAAGAGTTAGATATAGCTCTTTCTTATTAAATTTAGAAAAGAAATGAAGTAACTCAGTTTTATTTATATTAAATTGAATTTAATTAATATCTACTCTAATAAAGATTTTCTTTACTGCTTTTTCAATCACTTCTAAATTCTCTTTGATTGTTTTTAAACTGTAGACTAGATTAATATTATTTATATAGCTTAAAGATCTCACTATTTTTATATCTCTATTCTTGAATAGATATGCAGTGTATATTGTAAATAAAATGAGTGAGATTGAAGATTCTTACAGTACTTCTATTTTTATCTCAGTTATATCTTATTTCATCTCATCAAAGAATAGTTATATAATACTTTAGATATAAAATAGTTAACTCATTTTATTAAAGAAAGTGATAGTTTTAATATCTTCAAAGTCTGAATTATCTTTGACTTTGAAACATAATTAAATGCATCTTTTATATCAATAAAAACTGCAGTTGAGATCAGATCTTCATACTTTATTATTTGAATATTTTAAATAACTGAGAGAACAGTGTTAATTACAGAGTATTATTTTCTATCTCTTATTTATTCACTAAATAGAAGAGAATCACTAACAACACTTATAAA